AGTAGCTTTGACCCAATTTCAGCTGTTTTTTTTGTTAAACTATCTATTGCCGCATTAATATCCGAATACTGACGAAGGACAGAAAAAATACGAGAGTGTTGTTGTAACTGACGGTGATGCCGGAGCCGAGCAAATCGCGAATAAATAACAATACAGACAAAGAGAGAATCTAAAGTTCGAATGCGATTATCCGGATCATCGTCGAACTGTCGAACTGCTGATTAGGGTTGTTTTACATTACAGCAGATGAGCAGACGTGTTATTAATATGCATTTATTGAAGTTAAGTTAGCAGTGCGGTGGTAATCAGTGCTGAGTGTAGTCGTGAGTCGTGAGTTGCAGTCTGAGCAGTGTGTTTAGGGAGGGGGGGGGGCGATCGCCCCTGCCCCACCCCTAAAAACCGCCCCTGCCTGTACAAATATGACCACCAATAACTAAACATTTGCAATACACATCAACCATGTCTTAATTTGGATATATTTAAAATTGTTCGCGAGCCAAATCCCCCTCTCACTTCTGTGCAGCAATTTTAAAAATTTGACAACCGTAATCAAACACGAAACGTTTTTGAGAGCTTTGAAATGGACCTTAGATAAGTAGATGAGTATACAATGTAAAGTTCGTCACAATTTTCGAAAATATAGTGTACATGCTTTAGAATGTAGCTTCCAAATTTCAATTACTTTGAACTGATCATTTATACATTTTGGATTGTCTAATGATAACAAGGTAACAACATCAACATGGTCCACATAAAGGGTTATTTATGAACAATTAACAATTTCTTCTTCGACCTGCGAAGCGATTTATATACGAAAATATTTTGAAACTAACGTATATCTAAATCTATATGTTATTTTGCTAATTAAATGTAGATAGGTAGGTAAAATTACACTTGAAGTGATACAACTGTCGAGGCTTAATTTATAGGTGTATCATGTATCATGGAGGATAGGTTGATACAAATCATTTGTGCAATTTTTTTTAGATATAACCATTGAATAATAAACTTTATTCAATGATATAGCAAACACATAGTCAAGCCTCTGCCTTGTACACTTCAGCATGTCCAAGTACATCACTGTTTTCAACTTTGCTCTCTCCCTGAAACCATAGATATATATATATCACGAGTGGTGAATATATCTCAACAATCACAGATCACTATTTATAGGTACAAATATCAAACATGGTAATACGATTATCTTGTAAAATTTTTATATTAAAAATAATCCAATAATTTTCAGCGGGATGGCATTTAGTTATTACTATTATTATTCTTTGTTTTTACTGCGTGGTGAATTGTAGGGGTCATGGATGCATTTTGGTTTAAGCATTTTTATTTTACGCGTATGCAAATGAAATTTTCTATTCTGTTTACAAGCAAGCTGTTTTTATGCGACAGAAATAAGGTATCAAGAGACATTACTTGAACACACGTTATTAATCAAAACTATTCCTCGCCGAATCAATCTAACTGCATTTATAGAACTGGTTTTTTGAAAAGTTATAGAATTATTTCGTTATTTCGAATACCACATACAGGTTGTGTATATTGACCTGATACGTGCCCTTTTGATTAGCCAGGGCTACCCAAAAAAAATGTCATTTAAGCCAGTCCATATTATTTGAACTATGTTTTATGCTTACCACAAAATGAAGGTAACGCGCTTTAAAATGTCTTACTTATTAACGAGTTTCTAAAACGAGTTCATGATTTTGGACTTTCTGTCCGTCCGTTTGTGTACATAACTCGCTAACAGTTTCGAATTTTCCAATTCTGTTTTCGATATCATGGCCCAAGGAAGACCTGATTAAATTTTCAGTGATCCAGGAGCTCGCTGGTATATTTGTTACAAGTCTATTTCCTACATGGATAGATATAGGTACTGTTCACTATAATTACTGTACATATTGTACATCAAACTTCCACAATCGAAAAAATTCTACTTGGTCACCGACTTTGGAGAGTTGAGAAAGGTTATCATCACCATCAAATCGTTTCTATCTGTTTATACTACTGAGAGCGGCACGACGTGGATCAAAATTTGAAGATGATGATTGTCAAATATGCGAATCAGTAGTTTTGCGTGCACACAAAAAACCATTTAAATCAGTTTAATTGTTAATCTTCTGGTTTGATTCGATATTAAAATGTCTTTGTTCAGTTTACAATACAAGCTGAACAGAGAACCGAACCGAACTGCACTTCGTGTCCATTAGAGGTGCTCTCTTGCGAGGGAAATTTTCTGGGACGAATTTTTTTGAGATTGAACATTCCGAGGGGGCTATAGTACCCCAAAAACAAATACTTCAAGGCGAATATCTGGAGACTGAATTTCCTTGGGAGTGAGTTTACCAAATGAATGGTTTCCCATCAATTCCCGTTACCTATGAAATGCGCCATCAGTCACACTTCTCCTCAATACCTCCCAGAAAGGGTCAGAAAAGGGTCCTCATGAAGGTCTGAATGAAACGCATTTGTGCATAAGTTTAGAACTGTAAAAGGTAGGATTTCTGATTACCATTCGTCGAAAAGTTATGAATTAGACACCTTCCCAAGTTGGCTCACTGTTCGGTGTAGGGTGCAGTTTACAAGACATTACTACAAACGGCTTGTTGGCGATACAGTAAAATAAGGAATATTATTTAAAGCATTTTTGATAGAAAGGCATATGAAAGACTTGAATCGTTACAGGAGAACCGTTAAGTACGTAACAAAAAACATGTTTAAGACCGCTTGATGGTGAGCAACCAAGGGTAAGAAGAGATAGTGAAAGTTGATGACATTATAATAGCTACCGCCAATGATCTGCCGATAAATAAAGTACCGGACATGGAAAACATCTGCAGTGGTGGTTAAAATCCTGGCTAAGACCCAATCTAGGATTTGGAAAGCAGGGTTAGACATAAGCCTCTGGAGATAGGGGGTGTGCCCAGAAGAAAAGTGGAAGTCAAACAAGCTGGACCCGATTCTTAAGAAGGGCGTGACCGTAGGCAAATCTGTTCGTTGGATTTCGCCGGAAAGTCCGACGTATCTCCAGAAAATGACCGACAGGAGGATTAAGCCAACAAACCGGACGGTGAAAAAATAATATTTGGGCCACAGCGGGGGTTCTACAGTGTGCGGTCTTAGGGAATATACTGTATGACGGGATGCTTGAGTCTACAAGCGAGCTAGATGGGGTCGAGATAATCGCTTTTGCTGACGACCTGACGGCGATAATTCGTGACAGGAAATTTGACTAAGGCATTACCAAGCTAGAGGAAGCGGTTAACCGGATAAATACCTAAGGATGATCAATCGCAAGCTGAGTCTGGTGGTGGAAAAGGCGAGTGTACAAATCTTGGCGGGGAGAAGAAGATGACCAGAGGTATATCCAAATGTTGGGCACGGAAATTAGGGCACAGAAGACTATGAAAGTACTAGGCATTGCGGGGGAGACTAAGTTTTATCGAGCACGTCAAAATTACCTGTGAAGAGGCCCCGAAAAATTTAATAGCGATCAACCGCATTTTGCCAAATGATGAAGGCGCCCGGGTTTCAAAGGAGGATGCTGACTGAAACATCGTTAGTGAATTATGCGTCATATAGGACTGTGACGGGCGATGATGTTTTCGTGATCGCGGGGTTAGTATCACTACGTACGTGATCATCAAGGCAAAGGAGTCCGATGAGGGAAGCAGCCACTACTGCATCATTTCCACTATACCCCCATCCGACTCATATATTATACGCGCTCGTTATCCTGATTGTTACTTGTCAGTAAGCCGATAACCACTTTCAATCTGTGAACTACCGTGGACGAAGCGGCCGATTCCCAATATATATAGAAGATTGGATTAAAGGCCAGCATGGGGAAATGACTTATTACCTCACCCAGGTCCTCTGCGGACACGGAGAACTTTACCGGCTGTGTTTCGAATGCGCCAAATGGACAGAACATCGGAGTAGAGTGGCGACCCAATATGGCGTCTAGGAGCTAACCGCGGATAATATTATTAAAACAAGGTGCGGAAAAAAGCGAGGTCGGGGATGATATCACAACCAGAGTTGGACTGGGTCAAGCATAGAGTGACTCAGTGACCCGGTGACCCAGTTAGTTTACTGACCCAGTGACCCGGTGACCCAGTGACCCGGTGACCCAGTTGACCCGGTGACCCAGCTTGACCCGGTGACCCAGCTTGACCCAGTTTGACCCAGTGACCCAGCTTGACCCGGTGACCCAGCTTGACCCGGTGACCCAGTCTGACCCGGTGACCCAGCTTAACCCGGTGACCCAGTTTGACCCAGTGACCCATCGTGACCGAGCTTTACTCAGTGACCCGTCTTGACCCGGTGGCCCAGTAATTAAATTATTGTTAGGTATCATCCAAAACAATTTCAAGTAACTTTTAATTTAAAAAAAACTTCCTCAATAATATTCGGCAACAAGCACGTAGCCCAATTTCATTCAAGAGAACTAATACCTAAAAAATCAAATGCATTTGTTTATAGTTTGTAGTCAAGTAGTCAATGAAAGTATTTAGAGAAAAGATTTATTTGGATTAAGCTAACTACATAGTAGAAAAAAATTAAATGTGAATGAACACCACTGTAAGCAAACTGGTAAGCCCTGAAGCAAAGAAATAACATTATTGTAATACAATTTGGGACATGGAAAGTTTTTTACGGCAGTATTAAAGCAAACATCACAGAAATGGCAGTTGTCAAGCAATCGAGTATTATTTTCAACAAACCAGCATTTCATTTATTGCATAATCTGTACACTTGAACCGAGGGCACTGACTTAACTGCGTTATTCGATCAAACTATGTGACTGGGTCGAATTGGGTCCACGGGTGAAATTGGGTCGCTGGGTCAAACTGGGTCACTGGGTCAAACTGGGTCACTGGGTCAAACTGGGTCAAACTGGGTCACTGGGTCAAGTTGGGTCACTGGGTTAAACTGGGTCACTGGGTCTAACTGAAAAGAGTATGACGTGACCCAGCGACCCAGTGACCCAGTTTAATTTAGTGACCCAGGTGACCCAGTTGACCCAGTGACCCAGTGACCCAGTCCAACTCTGATCACAACTATGTGTCATGATTTACCGACCGAGAGAGATCGAAAGTAGGGCCGAGAACAGACGAGAGCAGAATAAGGAAAGCAATATAATAACACATTGGCTTACATTTAGGCGCTCAACATCCACCGCGGAGGCGCGCAACTGTCAAGCCGGAAGATAAGTCCTCGGCCGGTACCCGGCTGGCCAGGAGTCATAGTGGGTGTAGGGGATGTAGGGAGTTCCACACATCAGACCCACTCGTTATAGAGTCAAACGATGGGCCAAGCGTTTAAAATGTTTCCTAAACCAACCTATAAAATGTTCTTAAGGGGGAAAATAATATATGAGCGCACCTCGAGCCTCTATCCCCCTGCGACTGTGACCCCGAACCAACCCCCAAAAATTTGAAATGGCATTGCCTTATGTCTGATTCGTTAATGGAAAGCTCTTTTATCTCCGCGCTCTACTGAAAAGCAAATTTAGCTCCCTCAGTTACGGGAACAAACTGTGCATTTACTGTCTTCAGGAGATAAAATAATCAAAAACTCCTTAAGGGAGGTAAAGTAATTTCCATGGAAAGGCACATTTCTGTGGTCTGTAACCTACATTCTGGCGTTGGCGTTTTAGAAATGCAGTTAATTATGGGTAGGTACCTATTTGTTGTCTATATTTCTCTTCACGGATAAGGTGACTTTTAACATCGAAGATACCTTAGAAAGTTCATAACAATATGCAAGCACTAAAACTTTATGGATTTTCCTCACATCACATCATTGACTATGTTCGTCTGCCCGTCTCTCCGTCTGTACCTCGACTAACTCGAGATCGAGAAATTTTTTATACATATTAATTTTTCGTTTAGTTCGTTAGGTATAACTGAAACAATGAATTTACAAATTTCAAAGCGCCTATGCTTTATTCGTTTCGTGCACACTATATTGGGCGCTTTCTTTCGGTGATCCAAACGCGTTTGGATAGTCAAATCACGTTTTTTCGAAGTGTGATCTTATAATCATGATTGCTAAAATCGTGAACAAACTGAAAATAAAATTTTTTTGACAAGAATTCCTATCCTATAAATGCAAGGATATTTTTGCTCAAATGTTAGATTAGTCAATATTTGTAACTGAAGCGGAGCATAATCGTGCAGGGTGCAGGTACTTCCACTTGTATTTAAATTATTTTCATAATCCAAACAAAAAATACATAATTCGAATGCAAATGTGCACTACGTAAACTTAACCATACTTTGATTTAAATTCGCGCGTTCTTTCGTAAAACGTGATCCTACTAATCACGATCTAGAAATCATGATTGCGAAGTAGCCGAAAGAAAGCGCCTATGATACCCATATATTTTACTACTACCACTTATTTAATCTGTTTTCAATCGATACCAATAGTGGGAATGCATCGCATGTATAAATAACCTTGTTTAACTAACATGGTTTCGAGCTTCGACACGCATTTTACAGGTAGGTAAGTTATTGATTACTGATTGAACCCTTTTACAAAAGAAAACTCACACTTCAGTTGATAATTGGAACTGTAAATGCCATCCCTTATTATATGTACAAAGATGAAGTAATGCCAATATCGGTTGTCCTACACTATTAAAACAGTAAGTCAACAACACTTAGAAAGTGTGATCTATTATTTGTCAATTTATTATGAATGTCGATTGAAATCTACTTTACGAATAAGTCTTTCAACGTTGAGCAGAGCGTAGAAGAGTCACAGGTTTCAGTAAAATCACTCTCATCTCCTTTACCTGAAAACCAACCTGTTTTCGATTTAGTCCCAGTATTTTTGCTTGCAGTTTTAGGTATAGCCCCTTTACTAGGAGAAGAAACAGACGTCGGTAACGTGGGCGATTGTTCACCAGGTTCAGGTCCTCCTCGCCTCAAAAATACCTCTATAGCACTACCAAGTAAATGAGGATCAACCGTTGACCCGCTTTTTTCATCCCATAACACGGCATCACCCTCCTTCCGCAGTTGTTGTTGCTGATTTCTACTATCTCTTTTATTAAGCGTTTCGTTTTCATTCGCAAATGTAACACGCGCCGTCGCTTTACAGGTGTTTGTTTTTGCAGAGATAGGTTGATGCCGATTGTTAAACCAATTTGACGAACCTGCAGACAAAATTTGACCCTCGGACTGTTGCGAGTTGTCGCCAATATGTAGTGACGATATGTCAAAGCTATTGGACCTGCTGCTCTTCAGTCGACTGCGCTTCTGCTCTAGATTAGTTGTTTTGGCAATTGACCGCTCTGTTGTTGAATCACACTGGTTGATGTCCATCGCAGAAGAGGTACGAGAAGACAAAATAGATATTAAATCAGTATTAGAGCATACAATTCCAGTCGATAGCTTACTTGCTTGGGTGCAACCTGAAGTTGATGCCGCCGTCGGCGGAAGTTCTGAACCACGACGTTTGCTCGAACTTGGAATTGGTGTTAAAGTCGTTCCTACGAAATCAGAGTACCGCCGTCCGGATGAATTAGTATAACGCTGCACGCCACCTTGGTCGTCTAGAGCTTCTACTTCACACACTTTTTCGTTACTCGTATTCCACATCTTCATCCTCACCTTTCTTGCACGGACGATGTCATCCATAATATCTAACTGCAAATTGTGTAAACTACCACGAGGTTCGGTGGAAGGGGGGCCAGCGAAAGATTCCCTTCTGGCTGACAAAACACGATTACCGACTCCAGGACTAGGAGAGGCAGCGACCGATTCTCTTCTATTTCGACCAAACAAAGTCGTAGGTACCTTCGATATGGTAACTACCGAGTGCCTACGCCCTCCTGGCGATGAAACGGGATTTGTCGATAAGGTTGCGAGAAAAGCGGCTTCACGGGCCGACTGAGCTGCACTTTCTCCGCTTCTTTCAGACAAACGTCGTACTTGACTCGCAGTAATTCCACTACATTGAGGAGTTGGTAGAGAGTGTTTTCGCACATCTTGACGCCAAGGCGATAAAAGGTACGGATTTGTTGGAGATCCTTCACTAGAACTGCCTTCAGAACAATTTTGTTTATTTAATCTATCATTATTTTCAACAGCATCGGATTCTTCTACCACGATCAACGGTTCTGACATTTGCGTTTGCAAACGACTCTGTGAAGCTCTTCTCATCTTAATGGTGATTTCTGCAAAAGAAGAAAACCGTTTTTAATCCAAATCTCGAGAAAATATCATGGTAATAATAATTAATAATAGTTATAATATTAGTTTTGAGATTAATTTCCAAAATTACTTATTTCCAGTTCTTTACTTAATTCACCTGTGTTTTGAGTAATCTCAGTACCTATACGCTTTGTCCGGAACGCAACATATTACAAAGTATGAGTGCTGCCTTACTTGGTTAACCACTTATGTAAAATTTGTTTTTAGCGTATTTTCCTCAAAGTGAAAAATCGCTATTGGCTGCACTTTGTCGTATGTCCGTCCGTCCGTCCATCACACGTAATCCTTCTACACATGTTGGTTATGGTGCATTAAGAACTTTTGTAGAGAATGTAATAAGGAGTCTCAATTATGTAACAATATACAGGGTGCTCTATATAAAAAACGCGAAATTTGGATTCATTAAACAAAAATAGAAACATGCTTATGAAGATGGAGCCGCCCTCCCCACCATTCCATAATATCCCCCATCTATATTAATTTTTTTTAAAGTTATTTTTATAACAATTTTGGTTATTTAACCGTACCTATTTGTGACTCTACAACCACAGACAACATATACTATGTCTGTGCTACAACTAAGAAATTTAGCAATAGTGCAGCCGACTTAATTTGAAATAGACTGTGTACCTATTTGTGCAACCAATAAACTACTCGAAGATCATAAGTCATAATACTCATAATAATATGCTGTGGTATACACGAACTGTCGGTTTAGCTTGAATTGTCAATTGCCAAGGTACTGTGCAGTCTATTACATTTTTTTTTTAGTAAAATAAATATATAATTCCTAGGTACAATATTGGACCTAATCTTTGCAAAGTTGTTTACGCACTACAGATTTAGGATGTTTTAAAAAAATCCCAGCGAGGTGAGGGTCGTTTGGAGTTTCGATACATCCTGTACCCACGACGGTACCGTAACATTGCGCGGCCCGTTCAATGTTTTATTTGAAAGCGGATGTCTCCAAAATAATGTTACACCTTAAAATGGTGAGTACTCATGTAAGCTGATGTGTTTTTTAAATGTTCTTGGAACATGCGTTACTATGAGTAGCAGATGCATTGATACTTATTCAATGGCAAATGTTATGGAGTTATGGTAACATCTTCAACCACAGCCTCCCTTCCCCCTTAACACACGCTGTTAGTATAGCAACGAGCTGTTGCTCGCTTTTAATAGCTACTTAACCCCTTAGACTATGAAAGAAGGGGACTGATAATAATAATATGCTATCAAGGGCAATGCTGCGCGTTGAAGTCTGTGGCGATTATATTTTCGGAGCCAAAGTTTATTTACTTTTTTGCATTTTCGTGTTTATGCGATCTTTAAATCTCGAAGTGTGCGATTAAAAACATTATTGGACAATGGTACACATTGTACCCAAAAAACACACGAAGGAATATCGTTTCACACGTAATTATAGGTTAGTTTTCGGTGAAACAACAAACTAATTTGGGCTTCACTTTACGATCATTATTATCACTCCTCACTCTTTCCTTCTCTAAGATTAACCCAACCAATCTATAATACAATGGCGCTTAAATATTAGGTAAGTACCTATACTTTCTTAATCATCCAACAAATTGCACTTCGACTTCCTACTAATTATTAATTATGAAGTTAAAATGACAACAATAAAGAGATCATTTAAAAAAACAAAAACCTCTCGCCAGGAAAGATTGCCGGTCACAGAAGACCTGATCCCGGTCTACAACCTGTGTTTTTCTAAAGGTGTGAGCGACTTCCGGGACAGGATCGTGCCAATGTTGAACGAAAAGTCTTTTCGCTCAATATTGGCACGATCGCATCTTAAAAAAACACAGATTGTAAATTGACACAAGGTGTGCTGTGACCGGCAATCTTTCTTGGCGAGAGTTATATGTCTAGTTTCTTTATACTTGTAAATTGATGTGGCGTTCAATATCTGACGGTGGCAGGTGGTTGTAGATGATTAATTTTAAGTTGTCACTCAAAACTGTTACACGTGCTGATTAGTTGTGTAAATGAATCGATTCACAGAAGAAAATTGAAAAATATTTCATGTGACATGTCTCAAACGTAGCAGTGTAATTTTAACACGAGAACGGTAATTGCATGCGTTGTTATTTATTTATGAAATTTATGGTTTGCAGTTTTCCTGTTATAAATAGAGCACAATTAATAATTTAGATATTACGTATCCTATTACGAGAAACTTACCTTGGTTAACAATTTCACAAGTTTATAGTGAACGTTGAAGCCTTGAAGTTATTTTTCGTATTAGGGGTACACCTGTACACTATTAGGGTCCCTTCTTATTCGTTCTTAATGACGGACGCTAGAGATTTTAATTAAACAGTTTACAGTGTTATATTCGTATACAGTGTAGAAGAAACATAAAATCATAATACGGAAAATGATCTATTGTGAGAGACTTCTAAGTTTTCACTCATTTAACTGATATTGTTTTGGGTTATTCGTATTAATAATGTAAATGTGGGCTTATAATATTGTGTCGACCATAGAGGGAGGAATCACACACGTCAGTTTTGCTTTGGTTCGGTCAGATAAATAAGCGGACTATCATTTTATTGAAGGAAATCGAATAAAGTATTAATTTCTTTCATAGCAAGAAGTGCGTCCCAAATCGGGTGGGATTATTGCATAGTTTAGTAAAGATAGAGAATTGGTTAAATTACAGTTTCCCAATTTGAATCACCCTGTATACAGTGATATTTATTAAAAAGTAGACATAAGGATTTGTACGTGTATTGTTTTTCCCTATGTCTACTTTTAAAAGACAAAATCTCTTCTGAAGGGCGCCTAATTTTATCCAATCAAAATAACTTCTTCAAACAAATAAACGTCTAATTAAAGTCGTGCCTTTCGGAGCCGACCGAGGAGCCGACTGTAAATAATTATAAAATTATACACAATTTGAGTTTGAATTTACGTCGAACCCTTGGTCGAACCTATTCGACATTTTGAACTTCCACAAGCAAATTTTAAATACGCATCTAAAACTGCAAAACATTGTCCATTTAATCAATTCTCAATCTTTAAGTATACCCAAAATCAAAAAAATTGTAGAAGAAAATCTAAGAACAAAATTTCAAACCGGAGTTTTCTACGATGAGTAGTTTTCAAATTATTAACGATAAAAGTTTGAAAGACAGAACATGTGACGTCATCCCGACATAGTGGGTGCGGCGGCACGAATCCAAGCCGTCCAAACGCGTCAGTTCTTTCATATTCTATCTATTTCGCTTTCCTTTGAAAAAAACAAGAAAACCTTACTGAAGTATTGGTCTAAGCGGTACATATTAAAAATCGAAAAAATCTGACGAACAATGCAGAAAGCAAGCCATTTGCCATAAACGATATGTATGTCCAATAGATTGATTTGACCCGCAGCACTCCCTTCCCCCACCCTGTGGAATCAATATGGCGGCCATTTAGGAAAAAGCTGTCACTGGCTAAAAAATATATTTTCAGGGATGGCATCTGCGACAAAAAAATCAAAATTCAAGCAATTTACACTGTAATTGGTCATTTAAATATTATAAAAATACTTCTTCCAGTTAATATATATTTTTTTCTTTTAATGTCGATCTAAATCATAAAATAATTATTGGAATAATAATTACAATATTGGTTTTTAAAAAAAAATAGAGATATGAAAAAATTTTGCGTTATGAGCGATTAGCCTCGCTATGGACCGTTACAAATCAGAGCGAGTCGAGGTGGCAGAGAAATTTAATAAAATCAATAAAACATTCAAATCAAAATCAACTAAAAGACCCCCCTCGCTACCGAGAGTATCTCTAGGGTCTTCGTTGATTACAAAGAAAGGAAATGAATAACTGAAAACCTTCCAGGAAATGTGTTCTAATAATATGAATTTTACAATTACATTATAATTTATAGTTCTCAACGTGTACGACAACATCGAAAAATTTCATTATTTTTCATAATAATGTTACAGGAGTATCATATTGGTAAAACATGTACACTGAAAATTTCAACTTTTCAACGAAAAAAATCGTTAAATTTCCCATTATTATGTATTTTTGAAAATGCAAATAAAGAAAAACCAAACATAGCTTTTGAAATTAAAAAAATCAATTTGACAAGAAAAAATGGTCCGATTTTTAACTATTCCGTATTATTTTGAAAACGAAAATAAGGAAAATCGTTGGATTTGAAATTATTCCATATTTTGGAAAGAGTAAATAGTGAAATCAAACTTGGTTATCAAAACCAATCAAATTGACCACGAAAAAATTGTTGATTAATAGTTATCTCGTATTTTTGAAAATTAAAACAACGAAACCAGACTTGGTTTTTGAAAATGTCAAACTAGTCAACGGCTGTGCTTGAAAAAGAAAATAAGGAAACCAAAATTGGTTCTTAATAGTTTTTTTTTAAATTCTCTTCTTGAGAATGAATAATCGTTAGGTTCCAAAGGATTTCCTATGTTTGGAAATGAAAATAAAACTCAATTTCCCGACAAAAAATGATCGATTTCTAATTTTTCGGTGTTTTTGAAAATGCAAATGACAAAAACAAACTTGTTCTTTTGAAAATTTAAAAAACATTGTCCACTTTTCAACGAAAAAAGTCGTTAAATATCTAATTAGTATGTATTTTTGAAAATGAGAATAAAGAAAATCAAATTTGGTTTATGATAATTAAAAAAAATTCTCTTCTTGACAACGAAATTTCAAATTATTTCGCATTTCTAAAAATGGTAACCAAGAAAACCAAATGTAAATTAAAATAAAAAGAATCCGAGGAAATGATTCTCATTCGCATTCCCTCTCAGTCCTGAAATCGCCTGAGGGAAATTAAAAAAAAAATGTCAAGCCAGTCTGCTCAATATCATTTTCTTACCGTACCAAAACTGAAAAATTGTCTTGGTTGAACAGTGAAAAGTGCGAGGCGAAGCCGAGCTATGGACCGTTACAAATCAGAGC